TTTTTTATTTTAATTTTTCTTTTATATACTTATAGTAAGTCCTGGGTGAAACTGTAAGCGCAAACTTGTGGTTCATACGTTGCTTTCTTACTTGGAATTCAACTTTGTTTTACAGGCATTAGGCAGTCAGTGGTACTTAGGCATTATAAGTACTTTTTACTTCAGCCCAAACCCTCTCGGCGATGTCATGATCCAAATGAGGTTGTCGTGTGCTTGTAGTGCTGCAAATGACAGAATAAACTAAACTAAACTAAACTACTACTGCAAAATACCCATGTGTTAATGAGTCTAATTATTCATATGTTGCACTAACCAAACAAAAAGGCAGGGATTCTGAATAAACTTTTTAAAGATTTTTAAAACTCCTGAATTCTATTGAGCAAATCTGCATTGATGTTCAATGCATGACAAAAATAAAACCTTATAACATTATTTAGTGAAATCATTACATTATATCAACATTAAAACATATCTTAGACAAACTTTATTGATCCACAAGGGAAATAATTTGGACACAGTAGCTCACACATAACAAAGAGCAAGAATATAATAATATAATACATTCAAAATAAGTAGCAAAAATAACAAGAGACAGGTGTTAAATAAGGCATAATTATATAAATGTGTATATACAAGTAAAAGTATATATATATAGAAATATAGTCATACAAATATATCTCTCAGCTATGTATCCTACAAGAGGTCATAAGGAGAAAAAGATGAAATGCTGTATGGAGTATAGTAAGAATATAGTCATGTATTTCTCACAGTTTGAGAATGAGCTCCACATCTGCACTTTTACTAATTCCTTTTTTCACTAATCTTTATTATCAATTAAACACCATTACCTGAATAAAAGAGTAAAAATAACCAGAATGAAAAACAATGTCTTATTATTTTGCTTCTGTTAAATAGTTACATATTGTAAATAGATCTTTAGTGGACAGGTGTATTCTGTCAAAAACTACCTTTAATGTCTGCATGTTTTTTCCACTTTGAGATTAATAATACAATAGATTTCAGAACCATGTAGCTAATTATGGACATATGTGTTTTAGATATTATGTCAATACTCTGCAGTGCCTCCTTCTTGGGCAGGTCGCTATTGCAAATTGGTTTCTTAATTACTGAACTAAAAATCGTGTGATATTTGGATGGATGGAAAATGGATGAGGACTATTTTACCATAAAAAACTGTCTGCTTTCCCCTTCAGCCGTCCTGATGTATGTCTTTCTCATTGGCTCCAATCCTTCAGTTCACTGAGTTCACTCCTCATTCATCCTATAGCTCTATAACTGTCCCGCCTGTGTCTGGGCGCATTCAGCTCCTCGGATTCGGCCCGGTCCCACTGGCCACTGCCCAGGTCAGCATTCCCCGCCGGGACGTTGCTTGGTGGGACTTTTGTCTTGATTTTGGGCAGTCTGTTCTTATAGAGTCCATTTGCGATCCAGGAGTGAGTCACAGGGTGTATACATCTCACTTAGACACTACATTTCAAATAACTATATGGGACGCAAAACAGATTTGTTTATTACACACGTTACTTTGTTTTGTTCTGCTTGGTTTGTTCGCCGGCATTTTGAGATGGGCAAAAAACAAAACAAAACAAAGCAAAACAAAAAACGCGCAAAATCAGAATCAAACTATGGTTTCTGCCTCATTCGTATAAAAAAAAAAGTGTTTTAAATCGTACCGAGTTTTGCGTAAAATACTTCGCTCCAAAGAAAATCTATATCAACTTTAAAACTCGCTCAAAGTTTAGACCTAATTGACTCGGTGTGCTGATCAAGTAACTTGTTTCTTTTTTTTCATCCGAAACTCTTCGGCCTGTAATTGGAACGGCGCCCTATAAAGCTGCAAGCTTCGGGCCTGTTTCAATACAGTATTGAGGGGTCAACTCGGGGTCAAGATAAAAAAAATAAAACGTTCACGTTTGTTAACAATGGCGTTTTGAAATCTTTTTACGCAGACTCACTCACACATTAAACTGTCGCGTGCACGCAGGCCTCCGACGCAGGCCGTGCGCAAAAGGCCACACGAACTCTCTCCCCACACACACGCGCACACAAACACCAGCAACCTCAAGCCCTTATTATTTTAATAATAACGTATTATATTGATATTATTTAAGCAACTAATCATCACTGGAACTTCTTTTATGCGAGTGGAAAGCACTTGGCCTTTTTCCAACGTTAACCTGTTTTTCATTGATTATGAAATAATCAAAAGAAAAAATCCAAATGTACCTCATGATAATATCGTTCAAATTGATGGCAGAATAAGGAATATAATGTAGAATAAAAATATATTATTATTGTTTGAACATAGAGTCTCGTGGCTACAAGTGAACTTAATAGGCCTATAGCCTGGGCCTATAAAAAATATTAGACCTGGTGTTTCAGTTAGTTGGCCTACATCTTATTGTAATCTTAAAAACACAGCGCCATGTTCTGCACATACACCAGGCTATACTGTCTGTTAGTGTGTTATAATAATTAATAATCATAATAATAATGCATCAGTTTTATAAAGCGCTTTTCTGGACTCTCAAAGACGCTTTTACAGAGCATTATTCATTCACTCCACACTCGGTGGTGGTAAACTATTATGGTAGCCATAGCTGCCCTGGGGCAGATTGACGTTCAGGTATACACTGGACCAAATGGAAAATGTTGCTACATTGTGCTCCTTTGGCTACAGTGATGAGAGCACATTGTAGTTACGTTTGTAAAATCTACGATCTAAATCGTTGGAGACTGTATTTATGAAGAAACAGAACACAAAAGCAGAACGAGGGTTTTTAGCAAACGCGCCAAAAGCTTGAAACGCCTGATGGAAACTTGGGCCTACAGCTCTCACACTTGTGCAAAGCCCAATAACTTTATGGAAAATTCAATGATCGGCTTATTATAAAACGTATCATAAGACTTGTAATGTTTTAATTAAATACACGGGGATATTTTAAAAGAATGATAAAAAGAGATACATCTTCCCTAAACTCAAGTTTGGTCTTGACCCTTTTGGCACACATTCCTTTATGCACATCAAGGTTTTTTTGTCCCCTTCCTCATTCGTTCACGTTTTATCATCTACACAGGCGTCTGCAGTGTTCTCTACAAGTTTTTCATTGAGATGAGTTCAGGTGTCTGTGTGGCCAAGAGAGTCATGTCATTTGGGAAGTGGAAATTACGCACGAAGGACGCATGGGACATGTTTGACGCATGTGCGTATGTGGTCTGCTGAAGACATGATGAATGGCTTTTAAAATGAGACATAACACAGTATTATTGGCATATGATTTATGCTTCAAACTCCGAGGCTCACAAAATATGATATGATTTTTTTATGAGGTGTGGAAACGACGTCATGTAATGTGAGGGCTTTTAGGATTTGTGCATTATACTTGTGTACTATTTAGCGTCTTATGCTGACAACTTTGTTCAAAGCTGTCCAAACGGTTTATTTTAAACATTTTATTTAGTGCAGCTTCGCTTTCTTAGTGATAACATTTCAAAATAAAGTCACAAAGGTGTTCCCCAAAATATGATCACATTTACATGTGGTCCTGCTGGTGAAATATCCACACAAACGGATTTGCTGTGGGCTGCTGCAAAGTAATGAGTGTTGATAAATGTTTAAAAGCATGACTTGTTTGAACTATCTGCTTTGGGGGAAAGGAAACTAGAACCAATTAGTTTGAACAACCGAAATGCATTGAGTCCTACACATTATACATTATAATGATGACTTGTTAAAGATACAATCTGCACCCAATATTGTGCTCAAATGTGTACAATGTTTATTTTTCATAAGGCATAAACAGGAGAAAAGTACGCAAAATGTCCCATACAATCTGAATGGTCAGTCAGTTCTATGAAAAGGGGCAAAAGAGACAACACATGTCACATCCAAATGTCTGCAACTACAACAAGCAGCAGGTCAACGCAAAAAAGCTATAGGGTGAAATAAAGACTTAAAGGCAAGAAAACAGCAAAAAGTCTGAGCATCTATTGTGCAGATGTTCTGCATGTATATCTAAAAGCAAAAAGTTTAATTAAAAAAATATTAACATTATTACACGTTATTATTAATTAATTTGAATATTTTTACATATGTTTATGTCTGTCAATTCATATATCTCAATATTTATTTTTACTTATAATATTTTTTTACACTCAATAATACATTATTTTAGCCAGCATTTTGCATTATATATGTGCTACACAGATTTAACTATGAATATAAGGTCAAGTAAATAATCAGTAAAGCAAGACGGAGCAAACCCATTTGCCAATGCACATGAAACCTTCAGAAACAAATTGACAATACATTTGTAGAAACAAATTTACGTCATGGTTTGAAGAGAGGGGATATCACATTTAACCCTTCAATATAAACAAAAGCAAAAAGAAACTAAATAATTACAAATCAGAAAAAAACAACACAAAATCCGAATAATAACAATTATTTAGGAGACTTTAACCCAAACTATTTCTATTGGGACTCATTTGAAGGGCTATGACCTTTGAACTCATGTCACGTAGTCTCTAAGCCTAATAATATTGTTAATATTTATAATCTGTAATATTTACATCATACTGGATTTGGAGCTGCCATAGGTGTATTACCCGTATGCTGCGCACCGCTTTGGGGTACGCCGCTCAGAGCTCGCTTCCTCCCGCCTCCCTCTCTCCTCTCCGGCCCCGGGCTGCCCCGTTCGGTCTCCGGTGAGAGCTACTAATCCCCTGCGTCCACGGTTTACTGTGAGCCCGTATTTAATTCCCCCGCAAAGCCCCAGCTGCCGCCCTGGTTCGTGGCTCAGCGCGCCAGACTTTGGTTATTAATAATTCACCAGCGGCAGGCACAGCGAAGGGAGGACATGCAGCTCGGTCCGCGCGCTGTCCGGAACGTATCAGCTCGCCTTTTTACCCCGCGTTGTCCCATACCAGCGCAAAGAGGCGCGACATCTACGTTTTAAGAGCAGTCTGGACGCGTATTCAGTGCCAGTAACGAGGATTCCGCGGAGCAACAGCTGATCGTTTGAGCAGACAACGCGGGCACTCGAGTGGACATTACGTACCGGAGGAGCGAGAGCACGCTTTCTGGGACTGAACTGGGATACATTGAGGAGAAGCCGGACCTCTTTGGATTAGCTACTGGTGGTGGAGAATGTCCAGCTCGGAGCAGGCCGGGTTTTAGGGCGCTTTTTGCTTCCTGTAACCACGAGACGCAGAGCACTTCTCTCTCCCCCACGCGCCACACTTTTGGAAACTTTTTGGATAGTGGAAAATGGGTGTTTGAGAGAGTTGGCACTTTTCCCTGCACCACAATGGTACGTGCTGTGAACCAACTAACTTTCTTTCTCCACATAGCTGTAATTGTGGTTATTATAGCTAAACATTATCTTTTGACATTTTCAAATTTTACACGTTTTACACGTGTTTTTTATTATAAAAAGTCGTGCCAAGTCCCACCACCTACCTGCCCACTGTCACACGTATTCGGTTCATTTTACACTTAAGTTGTTAAAAGTGCAAAAGTATATTTTTTTAAATGCGTTATTTGCAGCTTGACGCACAGACACTTCTGCCAAGGAGTCCTGTGATGTGGGTCACTCTCTACACTATTAATAGCCACATATATGATACGCGCTATCGTGTATCAGCAAATAAATAGGGGCCACAGACCTGAATAAAAAGGTCACTGACATGTGGAAAGAACCAAAATTCTGTCTGTTCCTTCTTCTGTGTTCTGGTGGAGTGTGACAAAGTGCGTAAGGCGTAAAAACTTGAGAAGAAGTTGGAACTTTGGTGCGTAATTGTCCTGACGCGTCTTTAATGTTTGTGCGCAACGTTTGTTTTCTTTGAGGAGAGTAAGAGATGGCTTTAACACACCCTAACCATAACACTGCTTTAACTTTATAAAAGTTTACAAGTTTATATGGTCAGCTACGCTATGGGCAGTGTGGCATTATGCAAAAATGCATATTTTAAAATAAAAATACTTAAGTCTACTGAAAAGTACAAACCCCTAAACAATGACAAAAGGGCACAATGCACAGAAATGCAAGCACATTTACTCCAGGATTGACTCAAAAATGCAAATGCTGTTTTAATGTTAAAAGAGTTGCAGAGTTGGGGTGGTGTAGGTCTATAGTTTTTGCATATCAATTTGGAAATTACTTAACCCTTAAAATTACTTCAGGAATCAGGGTTTTTGGATTATTAACTCTTTATACAGTATGACCACTTTAATGACTTATAATGTGCACATTCATGATGTTTCAAACTGATTGTTTTTATTATATATTTTTGCTCATAGGTTGAGACGGTAGAATTAGAGATACACGTCTTCATTTTGTGTTCTTCTCACAGTCTCTGAGTGGAGTCTGCATGTACCTTTGCTGTTACTGTAAGATCTCCACTATCATGCATAAACTGATGCTATATATTCAGTTTCTACTGATACATTTGAAAGTGAGTGGAAGTCTCTCACTGTCTGAGTGTCCACACTGTGGTGAGGTCAGGACAATGATAATTTTATGTCAATAAATATGCCATATTACCTTATACCTACAAAAACCTAAGGCATATAACTTTATAATATATTTTTAATATTTGATATAATAGATTGAGCATATATCCATGAAGTGCAGTGATTGTTCTTGAATGAACTGCCATAGGACTCATAAATTATCATTTGCATCATCTAGGCACTGAGCTTTTGCTATTGGCCTTTGTACTGAGACAGCTTACACACTTACACTGTAGTTTTCTTATTGAATATCTATTGCATTATAACTTATTCATTAGCAAAAAGTTTCAACTCACTTCAAAAACACCATCACTAAAAAGTCTGTTTATGGCCCAATCCGCTCACTACTTCCTTGACCCATAGATTTTTTTGGCACGAAATGAGTCAAGTCGAGCAATAGTTAGGGGAACCTCCCACATACAACCTTGAAGCTGCTTGCAAGCCAGGAAAGGGATCTTATTTGCACATGAATATGGAAGATTATTAGTATGAATAATTATTTGTTTACTGCGCTGACATGGCGAAGGCCCAAGAAGCTCATCAGTTAAAATGATACAGAATTTAGGACAGGCCTCACATGGGATTATCTCTGCACTTGTTATTCTCCCACTCACAGGCACTCACCTCTTTTTTAAAGTGAAGGCGTCGCTGGGAGCCGGTGCCAGGGTGAGTCAGAAAGCTCTGGAGGCATCTGTCAGTCAGTGTCAGATTAGCCCCCCCCCCTGAGGCTACCCCCAGATCTGCACAAATAAACATCTCTGCACCACTTCTACTCCACAAAACCCATGTATGTGGAGATGAAATGGAAGCACACATTTACCATTGAGGGCTCTTTTTGATGGTCCTATGCATTGATAGAGAAGATAGCATTCATATATTTGTATATGTATGTATAATCTATGGTGAACTAATCATTGCAACAACCAGTGACTTCAGATTTTAAAGGAGAATTAGCCCATTGCACATGTTCTAGGTCAGTGGTTCCCAGACTTTTTTTCTCCTTGAAGCCCAACCGTGTCACACAAGAAAAAAAAAATCTTAAAAACTCACTTAGAAGCATTTATTTCAGATAAATGAAGAGTATTTGCAGAGTATTCAATCTTCTTTGAAAATATAAATTGTAAGTAAAAGTAATTGTGGGAGCAGCAGTAGCTCAGTTGGCATAATGTTTGACCACTGATCCAAAAGTTTGTGGTTCAAGTCCTGCTCTCAACATAAACATCATTGGTATAAAATCAGAGTTTGATGCACAGCTCTCACAGATGAATGCTACTGTTGTGTCCTTGGGCAAGACACCTTACCTGCCTCGCTTTCAGTGTCTGCGAACAATGGTGTGTGAATGTGTGTGTGAATGGGTGAGTGGTTCCTTGATGTAAAGTGCTTTGAGTGCAGGTGAAAAAAAAAAGTTGCCATTTAGGCGTTTAGTTCTATTTGCCTTGACAGATCCATATAATTTTACAAACGATAAAGAAAGTAAAGAATGAGAACCTAACTTCAACTTTACTACTTGCATCGTCCAAATCAGATCAGAGCAGCTCTCCTCTGTTCTACTGTGCTGTGTCTGTGCTGTCACTGCAGTGATGTCAGCCCGTTACTGTACACCATAATGCACTATGATGTTTGTTCTGGCCATGACGTTTCCTTGGAAAAATAAACAAGATTTGAAGCGGGCCGTAATAGCTTACTCCAAAATCTAAAGATGGAAAGTCTGATATAACATTGGCCGAAGTAAATATTAGGATACTGAGCTCATGGCTTGTCAGGTTGATGGGGTATAAGGTCTTGTATATAGGCTAATCAGGTCCTCTTCCTGGAATGACAACCCCATTATATTAGTGTAATCGAACCACGCTTTAATTGTTTGCAGAAGTTGGAAGACTATACCCATCGGGATATCGGGTGCTTCTTAAACAGTAACTCAAAATGATCTAGGTTAGGAATGAAAATGTCTTAAATTTCACTGTCGAAACAAGTGGGAACATTCAGAATTGGTTCATTACAGAGGTTTAGCTGCCAGAAAGGACAGCAGGTGTTTCCTGTTGTCAGAATGGATGTCTGTCAAAGCAGTGACACCTTAAATGCCAAATTACAAGAGCGCAGTCAAACTTTTTACCATGTTCAAAAAAATATTCATCACAACAAGACTGAAAGGGACGCTGTGAGAAATTGAGTTAAGATATATCTGTCTGTCTATATGTCTGGTTTAAGTTACTTTGGAGACAGCAGTAGAGCTCAAATCAAAGTGTTCCATAGGAGAGACCAGGGTGGAGCTCATGTGTTTAATAGATAGGCCAGACTGAGCATAGCGTACATACTGTTAAAGGTACATTGAGGTTAGAGCTGTGGAATAATGGATTAAAAAAACACTGGTCTGGATCATAGACTGTTTAAAGAAATGGACTAAGAGAGTGTGACGTCACCCACAGCGTTCGCCTCTAGACTCTAGGAGCAGGAGTCTCCAACCTGTAGCTCGGGAGCTACCAGTGGCTCTCCACCCCCCTCCTGGTAGCTTGCTAAGTGATTTCTGTATTATACATATTGTGCTGTATAAGTAAAATTGGATTAATTATATGCCTTTTACCACTGTACATGTGTCATTCTGATGCCTAACTTTGTACACTAATAAATTGATAATGGTTTATGTTTTATAATTATCTAACCATACCTCATCTAAGGCTTGCCGTGGCTCTTACATTTACTCAGTTCCTTGTGACTGCTAAAACTAGTAGCTCTCTGGCATTTTTTTGTAAAGGTAGTTCACCAAAGGAAAAAGACTGGAGACTCCTGCTCTAGAGACCAGCAATTTTAAGAGCGAACTTTGAGCAAGGTTCCATATTAGGAACAGGAATTTATTCATGGATGAAATAGTGAAATAAAAACACCAGGATCATGTAGAGCGGGTTAATACGAACATATTAAGGTCAGAATGACGAGGCTCACAGCAGCAGTTACAGAGAGAGGAGCGTTGGCTTTCAACGTAAAGTCGATGGAGCCAAAAGTGTCCCCATGTTCATACATCCTGTTTGGAACGCAGTGGATAGCGGGTTAACTATGTCCATTTCTAGCCTATATACAGTCTATAGTCTAATCTAACCCTATTACAACAAAAATACCCAAATCTCACCACTTTTACGAAGAAAATGTATGCACTATAAATTCTGAGGAGGAATATATTTTTCCAGCATTCATATATTCAACAAAAAGTCAATATAATACAGGTATACACATACATACAGGTCGCACAGGTCAGATCTGTTTAATTTGCTCCTGTGGATACATTAATTTATTAGTTGATCGAATGTTCAAGTGTTAAATTACAGTTATTTATAGTTCATGGTGTATGGGGCAGCATACACAACTCTATAACCAGCACCACCGCTCTGCATTTTGAGCCACACTGTCCAGAAATACATTGAAAAAAAAAGAAAAACATTGTCAGAAAATGGAACCAAAAAATAATAATATCAATCTTTCTCCAAATTGAACAGTAGAAGACAATGTGGGAACTAATTACACATGACTAAAATGTGTAAAGCGTTTGTAGCTCATATGATACGAGCTTTGGCGACGTGTCAAGATGGCTGCCAGAACATCATCATCTCCAACAACATCGAGCGGCGGCGATGTGTAAATCAATACAGTTGTCGAGATGCATAAATGTTTTCTCTGGCTGCGCCTCCACTCTCCACACTTCAAATGGGAGCTTGGAAGATGACACTGAGAAGACTTCTGATGCGGACAGCTTCCAACATTTTTAGTGTGATCCCGTAGACAAAATCCAGCCAAGATTATTCAGCA